GGGGGGGGGGGGGGGGGAGTCAGGGCCGCCCTCAGCCCAGGGGGCCTTCGGGGGCGATCAAGACTGGGGTGTGGGGCTGCAGGGGGCTGCAGGGGGGTGTGGGGCTGCAGGGGGCTGCAGGGGGAGGGCATGCCTGTCAGGGCTGCCCCTAGGCTACGGAACCCTGGGGCTGGGCTGGGATGGAAGAGGTCACGCCCCTGGCCCAGGGGCTGGGGTGTCAGGGCTTCCACTTCTGTCCGAGCCCAGTAGGAAGAGACGGACCCAGGAGAGGCCTGAAGGGTCTGGGGACAGAACTGGTTCAAGGGCTTCCCTGAGTCTCTGCAGGATCCTGGAGCTGGGAAGGGGTTTTGGGGAGTGGGGTGGGGTCCAAGGATCTCTCTAGGCCTAGATCTGGGGGTCAGAGGGGGAGGAAAGCAGAGTCCCGTCAGCATGTGAGGCCCCTCCCACCCCGAGGCAGAGGATGTAGAAGTCGCAGTCTCCGCTGGGGGGGAGGTGGTCACCTGTCCAGAAGTTCCCAGTCCTCGCCTCCCCACTGGTCCCGGAACTCCTCGGTGTTCATGCCTCCAACGCGGTCGAAGTCGGACTTGTAGATCCCAAAGAGGCCGAAGCCGTTCACCTCCCAGTAACCTGGCGGGGGTGGGGTGCCCTTCAGACGCCAGGTCCTGCAAGCCCTTCCTCAGGAGGGCTCTCAGGGTCACTCCAATGTGTTGGTCATAACCTGGGAGACCTGTGCATGACTTGGGTGTTGGAGAAGGTTCCTAGGGGCCAAGCATGGTCCTGGGGTTACTGGGGGAGGACTTGAGGTCCTGGGCACTCTGGGGGTCCTAGAGGCCACAAGGAGTCCCAGGCGTTATAAGGGGCATTGATGGGGCCCTAGGCCTCCCTTGCGGGTTGGGAGGCCCCCGGGGGCCTGGGTTTTGCCCTGGCATGGGTGGGACACCTGACGTTACCGAGGGGCATTCAGGGCATTACCGTGAGGGTCCTCTGGCGAGCTCCCGCAGCCCAGCCGCATGACCACAGGCGCAAAGGCCAGCTTGCCCTCCACGCAGTGCTTGCGGATGCCATCCAGGATGCTGGGGGGGAAGTGGATGTGCAGGTCGCAGAGGAAAACGATGCTGCTGGCATCCTGGAGACAGCAGGGAGGTCTGAGCCTCGCCCTCTCCTCCGGAAGGGCCCCCCCCGCCCCCCGCCAGTCCATCTCACTCTCTCCACCCGCACCATCCTGTCCACGCACCTCCACCGCGGCCACTCCAGCTTGCAGCCCCGCGGAGCGCTCAAAGTTCCCGGTTCGCCTTAGGTATTGGTATCTGGGGGAGGAAGGGGATATGGGGTGGGAAATCCCAGCCACCCATTTCTGGGGGAGGGGGCGGGGACAGGAAAACCCACGCCTGTCCGGGAGGAGGGAAGCTGTGCCTGACCCTCGCTGGGAGGTGGGGGGCACTGTTACCTGGGCAGTGGCGCCGCGCGGAGGGCCCTCTCCACATCCATGTCTTCGCTCTCAAAGTCCACCAGGATGACACTGAAGCGAGAGTCCCCTGTACGGACGTGCAGCGCAGCCATGTCTGCCAGGAACTGTACCACCCAGCGCGCCTGGTTCTTCACTGGAGGAGGATGGGGATACTGAACCCACCTGGACCCGACCTGGCGGTACCCTGCCCAGGACCAGTAGCACTCCCCCCCTTCCCATAAGGCCTGCTGGACAAGG